GTAATCTCCTGCCCCCCTTCATCCCCACCCATCAGGCTAGCACTATGAGAGGAAATGCTTTATTGTTTACAATACGGGACAAAGAAGAACCTCGTCATATACGAATTATCCTAAACATATAATTGCAGTACATTAAATTACATATGACCACTAGTTAAAACATAAAACAATTTGGACCCGGATCCAAAAAAGATCCGTCATTTTCTGGAAATTTAGGCGTTGATTCAATAAGCAGAAAGTCGTCGCAAACTTTACCTAACAACGGTTCTCTTATAAAAAAAAACCTTTTTTTCACTGGTGAGAAACCAGATTCTTACAAAACATGAAATTTCTTGTGTATATTCCTGCCAAATCAGTTCTACTCGTATTTTAGGTGGAAAGAACATAAAAAGTACAGAACAACAAAGGAATCAAAAGCTAGACCTCAAAAACCTAGTTCTTACAGATAGTATCGAAGAAGTTCATGGCACTGATGCCTCCCGCAATAACGGTATCTTACAGCCCCTTCAGTACCTGTTTACTGTTTATTTAGATAGTCAAGATATTTAAAAACAAGCTATTTAAACAAAAAAAAGAACGAAATACACCTTTATTCTGTCTTGTTGTAGTACCATCGCAAAAAAATTAAATTTTCAAACACCCACCAGATTTGAAAGCCTAAGACTTCATGAACCCGCTCAGCAAGTGTATAATCGAATCTAAAAAGTACTCACTTATGAATCATAAAAAATTTACGATCATGACATGTAATAACACGCAAAGTAACAAGTCAATGAGATGAAATCACTGAGCAAAACACTCGAAGCTTAAAATTTAATAAAATCAGTCGGAATGCTCAGCAATGTCGAGTACGTTCACAATCGTCTTTGAATTTCCAAAAACACACAAAAAAAGATCCCCACATTGAACACATCTTATAACCGACCGGTATTTTGCAGGAACAAAACCTCTTTCTCGATCAAAACGTAACCTTCTGAAACAACAATCAAACGTTATCTGCCACTGGCGAGCAGAGACAAGCAAAATACGCCACACCCCCACCCATCACAGTGCGCTTCCAGCAACTTCTGTAAACTTCTCCGTCCCCAGAAGCATGAGACAAACGTAGATCGCAACGCCACCCTCGACACATAACATACTACACTGAACTTTCAAGCACAACCTTTATGAGCCCAGCAGCAACTTGGAACTCAACCTCCTAAGTCACAATTAAAGATACTGAGGTATAAACATTATAAAACTTAATCACACTAACTGCTCGCATCCGCGTTCTGAAAAAAGTACAAAAAACTTAGTTTTGTTAATTTCTCAATGTGAAGTAACCGCTTGGTCAACAACTAGAGGGCTTTATATAACAGATGTAGAGATACTACGAAGTGAAAATCAAAAACACAACAACAAGTTTATTCACGAAATCAAACAAAAAACAAACAGGCAACACAAATTTATGCTGTTTCAGCCGGCATGCTCCTTATTATATCGGAATCCCCAGCGTCCGTTATTGACAGACAGCATACTCTAAAAAGTCTACCACACGCTGTCCCTAACTCAATGTTATTTCCATTGTAATGGTGAACACCAGTTTTGGCCAACATTGCATAGTACTCTATTTCACTCTTTCTGAAAATACTCCTCGTTTCCATACAGAAAAATCGTACGATAACTTTATTTGAAGCAAAAGTCGATAAAGCTAAAATACACGTTATGCAGGGATTTCGCAGTTTTCATTACACCTATCTTACTGTTTCCAATCCATAAACTAACCCAAACAAATTTAACTTCTTTCCTACTATGTATCAAAAGTACCAAGTTACCAAAATTTGGAATATATGAAAGATTCCTGTCCAGGAAGGTTAACAATGACTCTAGAAGCACTTATTATACTATGTCCACCAAAAAAAACTAGTATCAAAAGCAGGACTCCGACATCTCAACATACCTGAAGAGTAAATCTAATTTTCAAAATATATCTTTTTAATCACTTTTCAACAAATAAAAAAACTAAAAGAAAAGATTGACAATCAAAATGTTTACCTGAGAGGAGGTGAATTGTTTGCAATTATTACCAACTTGGCTTTACCAGACCTTAATGTCCTCAACGTCTGTTTGTATCCCAAGCAGTATTTACCACTTTTCATAACCATTGCCAAACGGGCATTAATATTTTCTGCAGACTTCTTCTAAAATAAATTCATTTTCGACTCCAAAGCCGATACTTTCATTTGTACCTTACCAATTTAACACTGCCAAAGACAGAATACAATATACAGAAATTACTTTTCGAAGGTCAAACAACACTAAAAGAAACCTTCAAAAATCGCAAATCAAAAATCCTAAAAAGCAAGCTAGACCAAACGCCGTGTCCAGGCCGTCGATGGCAACATCTTTCCATTAAGACAGACTCCGGACATCAGCATCCATCTCAGTCTGCTTAAAGTAACTCTACAGCATTTACCCACCTGCTTTTTAACTGCCATCGTAAAAACTCTTGCCTAATGCAAGTGCGTCACCGCTCCTTCAAACCCTAAAACAAGAAGAATAGCATCTAACTTGAAAAAATATGGAGCATAACACTGGTCTTTCATAAGCTCAGAACAAAGAAACACCGTATTCAAAACCTATAAAGCAAAAGAAAATTGAGCAGTTCAAAAGCAACCAAGATCGAAACAAAAAAAAACACCTCTCAATAAAATACCAGATATCTCGTTGTATACCAGAAAGAACCTTCCTAAATGTCTTTAAAGTGTTTGCAAATGAAAAGGTCAACAAAGTTCCGTTCCTTACAAATCTGCAGTAATCAACCAACAACAAAAACTTCATAAACTCTGTTTAAAGCCGAAATAAATATTGTGAAAGAAAGACGGTTCTGAGGAAAACTATCGTTTCAATGTTCGTCATCAATTGATGCAGCGTAAAATCAGGCAAGTATTCTCACGTCACAGCAGTAAACCAAGAGTTGTCAGCGTTTATGGGTACTGCTGCAGACGTTAAACGAGTAAGAAAAGAGTATTCATCAGACTAGCAAGAAGAAGTCGGTAGAAGTTTTTTTGTCAAAGTCAGTCTTTACTTTTTCACAATCTTTTAGAAGAAAAAAAGGAACATTTCTACGGCCTTATAATTTTTTCCCGTTATAAAAGAGGTTTTCGTAATTGGCAATATTCCGGTAACTGCCGCTTTTTCTTATGCCAGTGAATGCACGGTGGCGCCGAAGGTAATCGGAAATCTGTTGCTT